CAAGACCCTATCTTGGAGAAAGACCATTACAAAAAAAGCGCTGGCTGGGTGGCTCCTGCAGTAAGACGACTTGCCTAAGCCAAGCATGGGCCATGAGTTCAAAACCCCAGTGCCACCAAAAAAAAACCCTAAAAGAATAGAAAGTATTCTGACATACGGAAATCCCAAAGGTTAGGCTCTCCCTTAACCAGCAACAAGAATACTAAAACACAACACCTTAGCTTTTAGTGGCAACCTCCAGCTCAGTCAAAATGCCTGGCTCCCTGTTTAAGAGCAGAGAATCTAAAGGGGATGAACATCAACTTATTCTTCAGGTCCTCATTCCCTAGGTGGCCAGAGAGCCACATACACAGCCAGAATGAGTCATCTTTCCTGCTCACCAAGCTATGCTCTACTGCTTTTAAGAAAAAAAAGAGTACTAAATTTGCAGGCACACAAAAGCATAAAATGCAAAAACTGTTGTTGAGAATAGTATCTTGGCTTCCCTGAGAAATTGGCATGTTGCTTTTCTAAGACCAAAGCATTTTCCCAAGGCCTCACTCAATATTTCATGACCCCACATCATCCCTATAGCTGCTTTTTGGATATCCTGCTCTAGCTATATGGTCATGTGTGTCTGTGTATGTATAGGGCCGTGTGTGTGTGTGTGTGTGTGTGTGTGTGTGTGTGTACGCACACACACACATATAAACATCTGTATATGTTTTTATACAAGTGGTTCTAATCCTGTTTGGAAAAAAAAAATTATAATTAAATACAGTATAAGTAACTAAGTTATATACTGAGTGAAATTTTAATTTAAGAGTCAAGGAAATTATTAAGCCTCAGTGTCCTGGAGGTGTTTCTTGGTTAAACTTTATATAATTAAAGGGTAAACAGAATCGTACTAAAAAATAATATAGAGAAGAAAAAGAGAAGGTAGTTTAATAAAAAAAAAAAAAAAGGCTTTTCCTACTTGGGACTTTTGTACTTATATCCCCTAGGCACTAAATATTTATCATTATTAATATCATCCTTGAAAAGAAAATTTGCAAAGTATACCTGTTACTATTTGGAAGAGTCATATTCAATTATCTGTTTGTTGTCTTTCAAAGAAAGGGAATCAGCAAAAGAAAAAGTTGGAGTCCTTTTCAGTCTTACTGTATGGAGTAAGCAAAGTAAAGAGGAGCCATTTCAAATAAAAACCAATTTCTCTTGACAATGGAATCTACACTTCTGTTCCTGAATTCCCTTGCAAGGCCTAAAAAGATACAAAGCTGTAGGGAAAAAGTGGGTTTCACAATCAGGTGAACCTGGGGTCAAATCCTGAACTGCTATAAGACTGGGAATCAGGAGGTCTGAGTTCACCACACACTTTGGGAATGATGTCAGACAAATGATTTCTCAGTTGGTCTCCATTTCCCTGGCTGCACTACAAGAGGCTGGACTGAATCTTATCATCCTTACCAAGAATAAAGTCTATGATTTCAATTGAAAAGCAAGGCTTCAAGTGCTATGGAAAATTCAGAGGAGATATGGACACTGTGGTCTGGGGAAGTTTTGTGGAGGAATTGGGACTTACATTCAGACCCAAAAAATGGAAAAGTTGTAAGATACCAAGAAGACAAAAGACATTACAGTTAGGACAAATAGAAAGAGTGACCCAAAGGAAAAATGAGTCCAAGTATGTTCAAGGGCTAATTACAACCAAACTAGCTGGCAAGACCTGTTGCCAGAGAAGGAAAAGCAGGAACAGGTTCATACCCAAAGGGTTTGAATAACAGAGAAATGAGACTGGGTCTTGTTCTGGAGGTAACTGGAACAATTAGAAGTTTTTAAGCAGGTATAAGTTGTTAGAGGACAACCCTTTTTCCTGTCCCTGTGTTTTCGTGAGAAAAAAACATGTTTCTGCCCTTTTTTACTAATGGGTATATACCCAACTGGCAAGCACAGAAGAAAGAACAGAGTATGTACCTGGCTCTGCATCCTCACCCTGTCCCTGCTTCAGCCATTGCCTGCAGTACTGGTGGATAAACTCAACTGAGGACGTAACCAGAAGCCTGATTCTGGACACAAGACAATGGAAGTTCTTCATTCCAGTTTATCAATAGAGTCGATAATTGCATCTCTCTCTCTGTTGACTATTTCCCAACTGACTGAGAATCAAGAGAGAGGAAAAAAGGAATTTGATTTACCATCAACACTACTGACTGCCAACATAAATAAGGTAACAGCAGTGCTTCAGAAATACTGGCCAGGTGGCAGCTGGCAAAGATGGAATAAAGGAGGAAAAGGCCAAAAGTCTATAAAATCAGTGGCAGAGCTGACAGTAATCCAGAATCCAGTGAATTATTTTATAACTAACAAGTATTACTCAGGATCTTAGTAAGTGCTCAAATCAAAACATGTACTTGGGCCAATATGTAAAGTTTATCAAGAGCACAAAAAACTAAGACTTAATTACTAACTTTAAAAAAAATCAATTAACATCCTTTCATAGCTAAAACTGGTTCGGCTGACCAGTGGGACCATTAATTAAAGGGACCAAATCAATTTTACAAAGATACAATGGAAAAAAAAAAAGGCTAAACAGTCCAAAACCCTATCTGGACTACACAAGAATTCTATTATTACAGGTTAATGTCATACAGCCCCAAAATAAAAGGAGAAAGCCTTGTGCAACTTGTTCACATTTCTAAAGAGATGATCGTCCTTATCTGTCTGTCAGTCTTCTCTCAAATGAGGTCTCCTGGATTTCTAAACCTCAAGAGTTCTACTGTCTTCTAAGTTAGCAGCTCTCAAAAACATTACAAATACTTCTTGACTCATTCATCTTATTCAGCCTAACTTGACCAAAATCATGTTCCTTTAATTCATGCTATGCATACATAACAAAACCTGTAAATTGTCCATTAGATCAGAATTCTGATTTTGCTTATAAATTTGACCCTCAGTCTTGTTTTGTGAAAAAACTCCTTACTCTCCAAAATGTAAATTACAACAATGTCTATATACCATCTTGTTTCATATCCTACGTAAGGTAAATGTGAATTCCTTTAAGGAGAGGTTTGTAAAACTGCAAACATCAGAGAACAAGTGGCTAGGTGAGCTCAATACCTATGACTTTCTACTGCCTTCCACACCCAAGCCAGACCCTTAGAACTGTGAAATTTCCCCTGATTACCCTAGTTCTCAAACATTGACAGCCTCTGTACTGTTCTCTATAAAACCAAAATAACTCTACTAGCTTAGGTCTGATTCTCCTCCTTTAAACATGCTTTTACCTTAGAGAACCACTTCAGTTTCTCCAGCATAATAGAGGTGAAAATTATTGGCAGAAACCAAAAAGTCACTCTGCTATCCTGTCCACATACTGGAAATAAGAGTGTGCTCTCTAGGTTAACTGAGAAAGCCTGTAAGTTTTTCATTAATCAGAATCCTGATTTTACCTATTTCTCTTGGCTTTTTACAATATAAGGTATTTTATAGTCATTCTCTAAAACTGCATTCTTAGTATGCTCCAACCCTCAAGCCTCTTTGAAAGATAAAAGATAATCCCTTGTTCAGCAGAAGGAGTGAATATCATGAGGCAAAATTTTAACTTGGATTAGGAAATTATCCATCTGGTCCCAACAAACTGTCCTTCTAAAAAAGAAATGAGTCACACATAGTAAACTTCAAAATGCAGCAAGTTCTGAAAATGCTTTTTCTCTGAGACTTACCTCCTTCATGCCTGACCCCACACAGGTGTGATGGTCTCATTAATTATGTTCTCTAGATTTTATGGGTGCTTTTGGGCTGACATGATAGACAAACATCTTGTCTCTGCACTTACACTTCAGAAACAAGTTTGTTGAGATAAAGGTCATATATTCTTTGTTTTGTATTTCTTCAAAACTTTAAATGCAATGTTCTGCATGAAGAATTTAGAAAGATTATATCTGTATGAAGATGGAGAATAATGAATTCCCTATATAAGGAGTGCATTTGTTATCCTTATAGGCTCTCTCCTATTACCCACTCCTGGCCTCTGATCACTACAAGTCACTAAGGTCTCTTCTGGCCTCATTTACTCAACATTTCCTGAGCAACCGTGGAAGGGTCAAGCACTCTGTCAGATACTGAGCTGGAGGACTAGATCAGAAATGGTTCCGCACCCAAAGCTCAGGGCCTGGAGAGGTGAGTCAGTACTCTTAAATCTGGAACACTGGACACACACAGCTCTGCGAGGTTGCTGGCCTAATTCCCGTAACAGTGCAACCCCTGCCTCTATGCCATTTCAAAAGTCCCTTCCTTTATGCCCTATGCATGTTAACATTTTAATTTTTCTTAATTCAAAGGAATAGCAAAAAATTGCATGACCGGTATTAACTAAGGGTAGCTTTCTCACCAGGAGGTGAGAAATGAGGTTCATTTTGGCTGAAAGATACTATGCACACAAAGAGCACATCAACATGGATGTAAGGGGCACATCTCCACATGAGATAGGATGCTAGCTACCACAAAAAAAAGTGCTAAACACTAATAAGTAACACAGACCAAAAATGATGGTTGGGGTCTGAAGAGGGAAAGGGAATTCCTGGGGTATCCTAAAAGCACGAATATAATTTTAAATACCACAACGCCGGGAATGCATTAGAAAACAGCAACTTCCAGAGGCAACTGCTTTCATTACTGCCAAGTGATTATCAATACATACGCATAACCACCTCCTCCACTGCCCCATTTTACATAAGCAAGGTATGAAGCTTAGGCCCCAACTAGACTGTAGTAAATTTTCCCAGGGGCTTGAGCTAATACCAAAGGCAAATGCTTCCACAGAGGCAGAGGCAAGGGCTTGGGGTAGGGAGGAAAGTACACACCTAGCCTTCTTGGATTTTGTCCTGGTTGCAGAGTCAGCACAACTCTTCTTCTCTTTGGCCTCCTTGGTACCTGAGGCCTCTCGGGGCTTCCGTGCCTTCTTAGCACCATCCTTCTGCTTCGACTCCTTAGTCTCCTTGTCCTTTTTCGGTTCCTTGGCCTTCCTGGGTTCCTTTGGCTCTTTAGGTTCTCGCTTCCTCTTTGGCTTGGGCTCCCTGTCCTTGCTTCCCTTTGCTGTACCCTCCTGCTCTCCTGTCTCCTTTTTCTTCCGTTTCTTCTTTACTCCAAGACCTCCACCTCCTCTGTCCTCCACTCCATTATGGGATGTCATTTTCCTAGGAAAAAGGGTATCGGCTTCCTCTTCAGCAGCATACAAGTCCTTCTGGGGCAGACAGTGACTGGCAACATCTTCAATTTTCTCTTCCTGATCAGTGCTGCAGTCAAATGGTGATGGGGATTTATAGTCGAAATTGACAGAGACATCAGACATTGGGGAGTGAGTCAAAACTTTTAAATTTGACAACTGTAAAAGAGAGAAACAAGCATGTTACCCTCCCATTGTACGCTTCAGACAAAGAATGCTATGAAGTTTGAATACGTGGATTTAGTCAACAAATATCTACTGAGTTCCTACTATGTGTTACTTCCTACTGTTCTTGGTCTTGAGGACACAAGGAAACAGAACACATATGGTCTTTGGCCTTGTAGAGCCACTTCTATAAAAAAAATCAGTATATAAAAACCTGAAAGATTTCTATATTATATGAAGACATCTGAAATATCTTTTAAGTCATATGTCTAAAGCTGGCAACATTCAAGTTTTTCACAAAATACGTTTAGATGCCACTAACAGGAACAAATTCTAGGCACACTGTCTGACCTAGAATGGCCTTTATCTTACTAATGCACAAAAAGTTACTATTCAAACATGTTAACATCTCCCACTCATGAACTAAAGTGCTATCACTGGGGTGACAAGGATGCAATTATCAAATTCATGTGTATTTCCCAAATCTTGTTCTCACTTATCATTAAGAAGCAACAACATTCATTGGGCTGATTTTGAACAAGAAAATCAGAATCATTCAAAGTTTTGCCTTTGACAGTAACTAAAACTGATGTCATTTTATATGATCATTTAAGTCAACAAACTCAACCCAAATAACCTTTGGCCATTTGTAAAAGTCAAACTTTATCGGTGCTAAAGGCAGCCCTATAAAGGAAATTTCAGGGCTGCTTTTGAGCACTATTAAATAAAAGCACAGCCTACCAAGGTGATTTTTTTTTTATTGTTTTATTATTCATATGTGCATACAAGGCTTGGGTCATTTCTCCCCTCTGCCCCCCCCCCCTCCCTTACCACCCACTCCGTCCCTCCCTCTCCCCCACCCCCTCAATACCTCTATACTATTTTGCCCTTATTTCTAATTTTGTTGAAGAGAGAGTATAAGCAATAATAGGAAGGAACAAGGGTTTTTGCTGGTTGAGATAAGGATAGCTATACAGGGAGTTGACTCACATTAATTCCCTGTGTGTGTGTAACAGGGTGACTATTTTTAAAGAAACATCCCTTTGGAAGTAGAAGTTTCATTTTATATTTTTAGTTCTGGTGTCCCCAATTTTTTTTTTTTTTTTGCAATATTAGAACCAAGGTAAGGTTGGTAATAATCAGATAATAATGTGGATGCTAGCTCCAGGGAACAGCACACTCTCCTTGATCAGGAATAAAGAAATGACATATGGAGAGCCCACAGGAGGGGCCAGAAGGCATTCCGGGAAGATGGTACAATTGTCTTCAGACGATGGCTTAGAAATAGCACTATTTGTGAATAGCCTGCTCTCCTAATGGGCAGCCTGGCATGTGATAAGGCACAGACACTTGTCCAGGTGGTATGGTTTTCCTATAGTGTGCCCATTCTCCAGTCTGTGCTCACACTTCCAGCACACCCTGGGAGTGACTACAACTGCAAATTCAGCCAATGTTTTCCCTTCTGACTTTTCCAGTGCCCTTCCTCAGTCTGAGGCTCCCAAACATAACACTGAGAATACCAGGACAAAAAGATCAAAGAAAAGTAGGATTTTTAAAATCTTTATTATAAATAAAGTCCAGCCTCATAAAAGAGCCTCAATCCAGAGAGAATCAGCTGTTCTGACAGGACTAGAGGGGAAGGGGAGGGAGGGAGGGAGGGACGGAGGGAAGGAGAGGGGAAAGAGAAAAGAAAGGAAGAAAAAACTGTCTGACTACCTCACTGCTGACTGAATATTTATCTGGCTTAGGAAAAGGAGACGCTAACTAGACAGAATTTTAAATCAAATACAAGAAAATGACTAAGATGGCATATCTTTCTTTTTGAAGACGGGGAAGTTACTGGGGTTTGAACTCAGGGCCTCAAGTTTGCTAGGCAGGTACTCTACCACACCCCCAGCCCTAAGATGGCGTATCTTATGTCATCTGATTTTTTTTTTAAACTAGAATTTTAAAAAAATTAATGAAACACAAGTTAAGAAGAAACCCAGCAATGAGTGACAGGTATCCAGTTAAAGCTCAGACCCTGTGCACAGCCATCCTGGGGATATTACCAAATTCTGGGCCAGGGACACCTTGCACTCCAAGATCAATCTTTCTTAGCATACAAGAGCAGACAGATGGAAAAAGTAAGAGGCAAAAGTTTGCTTATTAAAGAGGCTTTCAAAGATAACACATAAAAGACCAAATTCCACCAAGGCAGCTAACTGTAGGTCAGAATGAGACCCTCTCTTCAATTCATGCTTTATGCCACAATCTCTTTTTCTGAATGGCAGTGCTTTCCAAAGAAGATGGAGGCAGCTGATTGCAGGGGGATTCAATCAGGAAGTCACAGAACCACATGAGGCATATTGCATGTTCTCTAATTTCTACAACTATCCTATAAGGGCAGTATAAAAATACCCATTCTGATTAGGGATAAACAGAAGATTGGTGATGTTAAGGGATATGTCAAGGCCATACAGCTGGTGAGTGGAGAAGTTGGGATGTGAACTCTCTGGTAAAAAGCGAATGTGCATTTCATTGAGCATTTTATCATCTACCAAGGATCTGTAACAAATTGTTAGGTCACCAGAGCAGCCAGATGAGACCTGATTAAATGTTACATGTGATGGGGTATCAATGCTTTGGGAAAAGGTCAGCTAGTTCTTTGTAAAGCTAGACATATGCCTACCTAATGGTCTAGCAATTCCACTCCCAGGAACCAGAGGTAACTACCTAGTTTTTAACTCCCTAATCTCATAGATAAGACAATCAGCTCACAGAGATGAAGTAACTTGCCACAGTTATGTTCCTAGAGAGCGGCAGAGCTGGGACATCCTCAAGAGTGAAGAGAAACCCAAAACTTGCAGCACAATTACTTGATGTTGAAAAAGACAGATACTAGTAATAAAAAACCATAAAATTTAAATTTCAAAATCAGTAATCCATGGAATCATGTTTTTTATTTTTAAAGCATCTTGTTGAGAACTTACCAAAGATACTTGCCAAGGATTAAAAAAAGGTGAGACAAAAAGAATTTCTTTCATGGTTCTCAAAGACAGTGGTGGAAAAGGCAAAGAGCCTAAGCAGAAACTTTGTTTCAGCTCCTAGTAATTCTATTCAGTTTTTAAGTTACCTTCTTTATTCCAATGTATTCTACATTAAATGGACTTAAAGCCTCATTTGTCATAAAAATTAAAAATTAGCAGCTTATTTCCATTAAAATATTCTTTTGTTATCTGTCTCATATTTTGGTTTTTTTGGGGAGGGGGTGAGCTTTTTTTGAATTCAGACTTTGCGCTTGCAAAGCAGCTAACCTATTGCTTAAGCCACACCTCCAGTTCACTTTGCTCTAGTTAGTTTTTTTTTTTTTTTGGAGATGAGGGTCTCATAACTATTTGCTGGAACTGGCCTTGATCCTCCTGATTTCAGCTTTCTAACTAGCTAGGATTACAGGTGTGAGCCACCAGTTCCCAGCTTGTATTTTGGTCTTATAAACACCATTAAATGCACTGGCACACTGTAGGATTCTGGTCAGGATACACCTCTAAGGTAATATTGCTATCTCTAGGTCTCTAAAATATAAGCAAATAGCCTTCCAGTCTCTTCTAGGGAGAAGGTGCTTACTGTTCACAAGCATATGCCAAGGCTGGGCAGCTCAACTTCCCAGGATGCTCTTCTTTATGCCTATCCTTCTGTAACTTTCCCCTTATGTCCAATTCGTGTCCATAGGTCCAGCAACAGATGCAGTTAACCTCTTTCCCACATGATCTCCTTGAATCTTCACTTCTCCAGACTACAGTGTCCTAGCTTCATCTATTATACCTTGTATGAAATGGTTCATCATTCTTTTACCATGCAAGTCACTTCATTTTGGCTTCAAGTGCATGTTGCAGAACATAAAATCAATTAAAATGATGAAAAAAATACATTAAGTAATTTTAAAAGACAAGGAAAAACATTTAATTCTCTGGTTTCTTTTGTTCTGGAGTGGGGAGGAGATGGATAAAGTTAATTTTCAGTCCTTTTGAAACATGATTCTAGGGTGAGAATGTTTTGTATCTTAGTTCTTTGTGCAATTTACTAACTATTCCTCTTTTTTTATGTTGAAAAAGGTCTGCCAATGACTACCAAATTGAAGGTCTGACAAGTATTATTCCTGATCTCTATAGGATGAAGGTGCAAAGTCTTAGAAATGAATTGTTCACTCATCCATATTATTAACTTTGCTATTCTTCCTCTTGCACTATTCTGAATTGTGGATTGTGATCTGGTGATCCATATTGGTGGTAAACATCTTCCTAGAGATCTGAGTCCTCACTTCTTCTCATTAGAGGAAACAGAGACAATCTGTTGGTAACTTGGAAGCCAGCTGAATCCACCATGCCTCTTTATTCTAGTTCATCTTTTGTACAGCCAAAATTTAGCATCTCAATGCAGAGCTTTGCTCTCTCCCTTACTACTGTGTACTTCATCTTCCTGAACCCACTTATCCCACCAACCCCCGTCACGTATTACTCTCTTCTTTCCCATCTTTCCCTCCTGAATCTTCTCCCTGGAGACTCCACCTCTTCTAAAATTCTTGGTGGGGCTGGCATTCCTCATTCTCCACATTCTCTTATTCTAAAGCATTATTCTTCTAGTAACAATGTAAAATCCTGGCTTTTCCAAGGCACACTGCCATTCCCTACTTTAACTGGCTGTTTATAAACAAACTATACTTTTCTTAAGAACCTGGTCTCAAGTAGAACTCAAATATTTCTGGATGAATAAATGCAGAAAAACTCAACAAGTATTTGTTTAGTGAATAAATATGTTCACTCAAGGAAAGGAAACAAGATCTAAGAGTCTGAAGGTCTCTGAGACTCCCACAACATTGCTTTCTGAAGAAAGCTCTTCTCACCACCAACCCTCCCATTATGTTTTCTATAGAACATGAGAGAAGGCTCATTTACTCGACTCTTGCTCATGGAGGCAAGGTTCTTCCATAATTACTACAAGTCTCGGTTACCTCCTGGTTATAGCTCCAAGCTTTAATTCTACTTATAGTATTAAATTTTTCTATTACGTTCATGCTCTACATTGTATACATACACTAGAATGCTCTTACCCCTTAAGATTACAAGTGCCTGTTGACCACGTTGCATATCATGTATCTCACTGTCATATTTTATACCTCTCAGTACCAAGCAAGTGGCTGAGATGAATAAAAATCAATAGTCCTATATCATAGGTATATCATAACTACTGTGAGAGTGTATCACCTTATGAAGATTATCTTCAGCATACTATGTATCAATAGTGCTATGTGGTCTTTTGGTGATTTGAATTCACATTGTTATTTCTCTAATTCATTTAGTTAATTTCTTCTTTCTAATAATGCTTAGTCATCTTAGAAATTAAAAATATACATGTGTCTTAGAAGCAGTTTATTTTAATGTAGATAAGAGAATGTAAGAGATTCATTTCTAAATATCTTATTATTAATATTTTTTTTTGCAACACTCCTTAGGCAATACAGAGTCAATCTCTAAAGCCTTTGTTCTTGGCACACTACTCCTGTTATGCCTCTTCTGTTAATAAGAAGCATGATTATTTATTACTAAGTTTTGACTAACTTGTAAAATCTGTCATCCCAGTTTAATTTACCTTGATAAGATTTTGAACAAGGAAATGACAAACTTTCAAGATCAGAATATATTTACATGTCATTTTTTTCCAGAGAAGAGGAAAAATGAATAGGAATGCGAGTTTAAAGAGTTCCTTGCTAGTGACATACTGAATAGTAAGTACTTGATAAATTACCTCATTTAATCTTTTTGTACAGTGTAAGACATACATGACTGCCCCCATTTAAGTGATAGAAAAATGAGGCTGGGCTTGCTCAACGCTATACAACTAAATGGTAGAGTGGGAGCTTCAATCTCATGCTATGGAAATCAAAGCCCAAGTTTATTCCAGAGCAGTGACTCTTCTCGATTAGGTTCTGTTCTCCATGGTAAACACACAATCTTGTAGCCTACAAGTTGCTTTAGCATCAGAGTAATTTTCTATTTCTATTTTTCATGCTCTGCAATTTTTTTTTAAGTTCCATCATCTGTAGACCTAACACCAGCACTGACAAAGAGGAGCAGGATCAACTCATCCTGAAAGTGGTTCTATTTATTTAACCTGATCCTCTACCATAGCTAATGTTAACTTTTAAATAAAAAGTCCTATTCTGTAACCTACATTACAGTGAGGTTTAAAGTGAAAACCCATCTAACTGAAACTATATAATAGATGGCTGACACCAAAGGTCTTAATATGAACCAATAAAATCATGAAAAAAAAAAAAAACCCAAAAAACAACTCTGAATACAATTTGAGGTAATTGCTATAGAATGTTTATATTTAAATAAAAGCTTACCTTAACAAATGTTTAAAAATTAAATATGGAACTTGCTTTCAGAGCTATAAACCTGACCACATATCATAAATGACAATAATTTTGAGGCTCTGGGGTATCTTCAGTAATTTTTTAAAGTGGCATAATATTCCATTATTAGATGGATGTGCTACAGTTTAAACAGTCCCCTTTATGATGAATCTGTGGGTTCTTTTCCATTGTTGCTATCATAAATTAAACTAACAAAAGTCCTTTACACACACAGTTTTGCATACCTGAGTAGATCCATAGGATAAATTCTTGGCAGCTGAAAACTCATTATAGTGATAAGACAGGCAGAAATCCAATGTGTAGACAGTATTTAGTCACTGATATTCCTATTGAAAACTGGCAAAGGATGAAAATTACTTCCCCAAATGAAGCTATCCACGGGGACAGGCTAGAGGGTAGTTTTTGTAACCATATTCCTAAGTCGCCCATATCTGACTAGGGCTCCTGAGAGGCACACTGGAGAGGAAAGAGTGGCTGGTCCCATCCAACCTATTCGCACAGGGTTCCAGTAAAAAGCAGGAATTCAGATGCCCTAATTATCAGATTAATATCCAGTTCTGTAAAAGAAAAGCCAGTTCATAAGATAGACTATTTATAAGAGACAGAAGCAGATCTCTACATCTCACTTCTGTGAGCCACATCAATTGGAGTCTCAAGATTTCTTTCTGGGAGAAGGAGGGATAAAAGAGAATGATGGAGGGGGTGAAGTCAAGTATGATATATTGCAAGAACATCTGTAAATGTCACAATGTACCCTCAGCACAACAATAATTGAAAAAAAAAAAAAAAAAAAAGAAGAAGAAGATTTCCTTTTAATTTAAGATCACCTGAAGCACAGAAGTACCAACTAAGGAAAAGGACCCTGGGTGTGGCATAGGGACAAAGTATTATGAACTCTCCTGTAAGAAATCAACTGCCAAATAATTCATATCTACCTCCTTTTAATTAGTTCATTATTCTACCTAGGAGGAAACCTCCAAGGACCATTTTAAGTAAGAATTTTATAAATAAAAGAATGGTTTTTGTTAACTAAATGTCCAATATAGTGAATATATAAATTATAAAGAACTGATCAATTTTCTCTCTTAGAAAAACTTGGAAAGCTGTTCCAAGACAGGAAAGATTTCTTTTCTGCGTATCTAATTTTTTTTATTGATATTGGGGTTTGAACTCAGGGCCTCACGCTTGCTAGGCAGGAGCTCTACCACTTGAGCCATACTCCCAGGCCTGCTAATTTTTAATAATATTCTGATTTACAAGTTTTCATTACATTACTCCTATAGGGAAATTACAGAACAAAAGGAAAAATTCATGCACTAAGGCTGCGCATGGTGGCTCATGCCTGTAATCCTAGCTACTCAAGAGGCAGAGATCAATAGGATTGCAATTTGAGGCCAGCCTGGGCCAAAAAAGAAAAAGTTCGAGAGACCCCTCTCAACCAATAAAAGATAGGAATGGTGGTGTATGCCTGCCATCCCAGCTATGCAGGAAACATAAATAGGAGGACAAAGGTCTAGGCCAGTGGTGACATAAACATGAGACCCTACCTGAAAAATAACTAAAAGTGAAAAGAGCTGGGGGTGTGGTTCAAGTGACACAGCATCTGCTTAGCAAGTGAAAGGCCCTGAGTTCAAACCCCAGTACAACCAAAATAACAATAATAATAATAATAATGTATTAAATCATTCTGAGCTGTTACCACATTGAGAATAGAAACAGAGGCAATGAACTACTGGAGGTTAAAGACATGCATCAACACTGTCAGGGTCCCCTCTTGTTAAGATTACAAGGTATACCTAGATGTGTTACAAAGAAATGGGATCACCTACCTGCTTCTCTTTCTTCTGTATTTTCATCTTCATGTATTGAAAGAAGATATTTATTTCTGCAAAACATAAAAAGGCAAGTATGTTATTATAGTAACATCCAAAATGAAATACTTTAGATTATCTCTAGATTAACTGTGATACAGGAATAAAACATCAAAGAGAGTTACTTCCGCTGAACATTTATGTTCAACAACATAAGTGTAGAACTAACCCTATCTAACCAGACCCTAATTTACTGTTCCACATGAGATGAAGTCAAAAAGATACTGTCGATGTAGACGGGATAAGTTATTTAAAAAATGCTGACATATTAAAACTACTAGGTAAGTAAAGGAAGAATAAAAATAAATGGCATGACTATGAAAGGAGTGGAGAGAAAGTGAGAAATAAGGTAAGCCGTCATCCTTTTGGAAGAAAATCAATAAATAATGTTTATAATAGACAAAACATTGTTAAGATGTAGAAATACTAAGAAAAAAAGAGGGCTAAATGGTTCAAAATAATTCTTTCAAAGAATAAGATAAGAATTGATATCAGGTGGGGTAGGTTACTACTCCATTTCCTAAATTCCCCTACATTATGTTTTAAATAACATGCATATATTGCATGATGAAATAAACTCTATTATAACATTTTGTATGATTTTTAATGACTTATTTTATTCAACTCAGGACTTAAACCTCCATCCCTACTCCAACCATAATGTCCTTCATGATGTGGAACTTTTCCACATAAATGATATGTGAACACATAGGAGTCCATCAACTGACTTTACAGGTACAATAGAGCACCTCAGACAGAAGAAAGAACCCTAGTGCACGAATCCAAGAATCTGGGACTGCCTGCGTCACAAACTGTAGGTTCTGCCTTAGGTCTGAAGCTCTCACCTCATTACATATGAACAGTGGAGGAATCGCCTGTGGCTCCTGGTTGGCTTCAGATGTTACCTAACAATTACTGTTTACTTTGATTTCCAGGACATCCTACACAGAAAGAGACCCCCAATAGCCCAGAAAATTATCCCAGAGGCACACAATTATCCTTAAGTTTTATAATTATTCTATCCAAATGAATACAATATATAGGCCTTAAGTAGATCTTTAAGATTAAAGTGAGACAAGTACTTGAAGTAGTAGACATGTTCATTAGTTTGGCTTAACTATTTCATATTATATTCATAAGTGCTAATATCACCCTGTACCCCATAAATATAAACAACTCTAATTTGTCAATTTACAATAAAATTTTTAAAGCTTAAAAAGAATTAAAAGTAAGAGGATCCCAATATTGTAAATGGCATGTCTGATGTAAATACAGCATGTCTGATATAAACAGAAATGTGAAACAAAGAGATGGGAATGTGGTTCAGTGGCACATGCACGGTATAGCAAGCACAAAAGTCCAGGGTTCAATTCTCAGCACTGTCCCCTCCCCAAATTTGTAAGTTTTATGATTCTCATCATCCTTGAGACCACAATTACAGTTTATCACTTTAATGTCTGTCAATTCAGTTAGTTTTCCTCCAAGAGTTAGAGGTATTTTCTATAAAAGGTGCCATAAAATGCCATTGAGTCTTCTCTACAGACTTATCTACTAAGATAGTGCTGTCTGCAAAGAGCATAGTGGCCAAGTAGGAAACAAGCTGGAAAGCAGACATGGTATAGGAGGGCAGAGAGCTGTCTGAATCAGGAAAGGGAACGACTAAGAAAGCCATCAATTCCAGAGAAATGGCAAGAGCTCTGAGGTGAACTTAAAAGAATATTCTTTCCTACATTTTATTAGGGTGGAGTTAGTGCTAGGCAAATTATGTTAGTATAAGTTTATTTCCTTTCCTTTATCTTTCAACTTCAAATTATTAGACCCAGAAAACAGACATTCTCAGCCATCACAAATTGCCACAAATTCTGAAATGAAGAAATACTTTTGGGAAAAAAATTCCAGCTGGCAAAAAAGGGTATTATCAGTGATAAGACATATGTACTCAAAATTGGACTGAACAAAGTAAAAAATTCTGAAAAATTTCACCAATGTCAATTCCACTAATAAAATTATTTTTTAATATACAAAGAAATGACACAAGTACTAAGCAATAAAGACACCAAAAACCACAATTTTGGATTCAGTACCACAAACCAGCATGTGTTTTGCAGGTTCCTAACACTGTTAGGAATATGGGAAAACAGGACCTACTACTCCCTGCTAATGGCCCTTTCAACTGTTTAAGCTTTCTGAAAATCACTCAGGCAATGTGTCACTAGATCTATAAACCAGTCTGATCCTTTTATGTGCTGGTTCCATTTTAAGGAATATATCCTAAGGAAATGAGCTCAAGGTCAAGGTGGGTGGAACAAGAAAATGCCTATCACAGCAGAGCCTGGGCCCTGGAGGGCCCACTACTCCTGAGGCCTGAGCCACCATAGGCCCAAGACTGTCAGAGAAGGCAGATGAGCTAAGTCTACAGACTGCAGGCGCTGAAGCAAGTGTGACTCGAAAAGATGGTAAAGGACTATAAACCAAATCTTTTCCCCTCAACTCATTCTATCCTTTGAGAGAGAATGTGTGTATGGAACCCATGAGAGTACAAGTGATGCTACTGTAGGAATTACTGCTCTTTACTTCACAACTGTATAATCATTAATTTTTTGTGAGCTTACATTTGAGTTATTGGAAGATCAGAATAATTTTATCAGTATCACACTGTATATCTTGCCTAGATGTTGATGACTGCCAATAATAATAATAGTTTATAATGAAACTATTGAAAATTCTTGTTTTATCACATCTGATAGCTGCAAAAGCCTGTAACTAGCTTTCTTAATTTATTATTTGAATTTTAGAATTGTGAATCACTCATTTTTAGTTGCTAAGGTTAGCATTTTAGTGGTTACTAAGTACTCTGTCAGTCTTTGAAAAAAAGGATCATATGGTTTGTGCTTTGAAGATTTTCGAAGAATTTCTCTTACAATAGAATGGACATATATTATACTTATTTTATGTCAAATGAAAAATTAATTTTTGTTCAAGAAGAAATGGATAAACTTGGCCTTTCCCAGTGGTAAGAATGATTTGTCACTATAATATATTGTATGTTTACACTTTACTTAAATTTCATCCCTTATGTATAAAGACAATAACTTTCCCCAAAAACAATGATTACAATTATTTTCTAGAAACTTCTTAAAAGTACCACATTTGGTAGTAAAATGAGTTTTGAATATTAGACCCCAGTGATGTCTAAATACCTGAATGTCTAAAATGGTAAAATGTGCCACTGTGGCTTAAGTTTTTTGTAATTCAAATGTCACTTAATTATGTACTTGCCATTTACCCCACTGCAGTAATTTTGCAGTGGGGGTAATTGTTTTACATTAAACAATTTTTAATGTAATCTTGATTTTACTACATATGCTATACACTCCAAAAACTCTGAACTTTTTTAAGATTATAGATATACTACCAAACATACTACCTTAAAATTCTACAAGGTTGGCCAGATGACTCACACCTATAATCCAGGCTGAGATCAGAAGGATGGTGTATGCCTGTCAGGATGACAGCAATGATGGGAAGCCAATAGGAGGAGCTTGGTTCAGGCCAGGCTGAGCAAGAAGTGAGATCCTGTCTCCAAAACAACCACACCAAAAAGGGTTACAGGCATGGCTTGAATGGCAAGTACCTACCTAGCAAGCTTATGTTCAAACCTGAGTTCCAACCCTAATACTGCCAAAAAGAAAACTGTATAAAGTTGAACATTATACAAATGAAAAAATATAATCTCATAAGAATACATAAACTATGTAGCAAAGTATCTGTAAAATCCAAAGAAATAAAAGTTGCATGATTCTTTTCTGAGGGAAAAAAAAAAGTAATTGCACTGGTTAACTGAAAACAATCCTCAGCAAGTCTCAACGTATTTCTGTTGAATCATTTTCTCAACTTATTTCTGTTGAATCATTTCTAGCACCCCTCTAGCTCCCCATTCACCAACAGAAGACTGTCACCCCACAGACTGCCACAGGTCATCAACATCAACAGGTGTCAATATGCATGCATTCCTTTTTACTCCTCTGAATAGCAACCTACAATTTACAAACATTCTCTCTTAAATCACCTCAACTTTTAAAAGCCTTTTTGATGGCACACATTAAAAAAACTATCTAACAAGTACCAGAAATAAATAAATAAGACACATTAAAGCACTTGTACTTCTGCATACACTGGAAACGGTTTATGGTCTCTGTTGCTATGTTGCTACCACTCAGAAATTGTGATTAGATCCTCTACTCAATAAAAAACAAATCAAACAGTAATTTCAGGGTCTCAACATTTAATAAGAAACATAACATACACAATTCTGAAACCCCTAACTGCATGGGTAAACTAGGAAATTTCCCGACAAGGGGAACTAATCTTGTGTATAATTTCCGAATCATATGAAAAACGGTAGGACTCTGCCTCTACCACTTTCAATACTTATGTGTGTGCAGCATTTAATTACCTTCCCCAGAAGTCATGCTGCTAATAATATAAAAGCAAACAACATAAAAGTTCCCTTTCCTTCCTAACCCAGCTAACAATGCTTCTATTAAGAAAACATGGGTGCCAGTTTCCAGTAGGAACATTCTGAAAGTTTTTTTTTCCATAATTACTATCTCTCTGTAGTTCAAAATTTCTCCCCAATGGTGCCTGTGACATTTCCAAGGTCTTCGATGCTGCATTAAGAACACTTAAAAATAACAAAGCATCAGGTTCACACTATTCAACCACTCATTTATAGAAATCATTTAAATTCAGTGCATCTTGAGAACCTGGTCATCTTAACAATCCCTGCTTACTACAAGTGTATTTCTTTAAGGAAGTATTTTCCAAACAAAGACACAGGAGACTCCTACCACAATCCTTTACACTCACAAAAGACAACAAAAGACTCAACTCACAATGGTAAGGATGGAGAACTTTGCTATTGAAAGGGCCCCATCCCCTATAACTCTATCAGGCACTTAGAGACAAAAAGTACATGGGAAGCAACTTTAAAAATCAGGCACACCTC